AAAAATTTTAATAAAATATATTTATATTTATAAAATAAAATTTTATTTATTTAAAATACAACTAAATTAATAAATTTAAAGTAAATTTGCATTTCTTTTTAAAAAAATCATTTTTTTTACTTTAACTGGTTTCAAATTACTTCTTTTACTAGAAATAACATTACCTACAACTGAAAACAAACGTTCACTAGGAACTGATATTGCTGTTATTCCTAAATATTCTTTAGCTAATTGACTTAAAAAAGAAAATTTTGTTTTGTTATTTTCCCATCAAATTAAAGGCATAATTTTTCTATTGAATTTCATTTTTAAGTAATTATCAAACCCAAAGAAAGAACCCAAGAAGACTTACCTATCTGAAGGATCCGTTCCTAAAAAAAAAAAAAGTAAAATCAGTAAGAAATCCCAAAAAAATCCCAAAAAAATCCAAAGAAATTCAAAGAAAGAACCCAAGAAGACTTACCTATCTGAAGGATCTGTTCCTAAAAAAAAAAGAAGTAAAATCAGTAATAAATCCCAAAGAAACCCCAAAGAAAGAATCCAAGAAGCCTTACCTATCCTAAAAGAAAGAAGGATTCGTTCCTAAAAAAAAAGAAATAAAAATCAGTAAAAAGAAGAAAGAAGCCTTCAAAGAAACTCCAAAAAAATCCAAAGAAAGAACCCAAGAAAACTTACCTATCTGAAGGATCTGTTCCTAAAAAAAAAGAAGTAAAATTAGTAAGAAATCCCAAAGAAATCCCAAAGAAATTCAAAGAAACCTAAAGAAAGAACCCAAGAAGCCTTACCTATCCCAAAAGAATGAAAGATCGGTTTCTAAAAAAAAAGAAATAGAAAATCAGTAAAGAGAAGAAAGAAACCCCAAGAAAACTTATCTATCTGAAGGATCCGTTCCTAAAAAAAAAAAAAGTAAATCAGTAGTCACCAGAGGTTATTTGATATAATTATATCAAATAACCTCTGGCGACTTGAGTTAGGTTATGACAGTGATGACATAATCTAATGGTGTCGATATAATCTAATAGTGGTAACATAATCTAATGGTTGTGATAGTGTTTATGTAATCTAATGGTGGTGATGTAATCTAATAGTGATGGTATGATCTAATGTCACGGTCTAGTAGTGATGTCATAACCTGATATCGTAATCTAATGTGGTGACATAATCTACATGTGGCTTTATAACCTATAGTTTAATTATCTTTACGGCTTTCTAACTACTATTTTAATTTATTCCTGTTATATAGCGTTATGGTGTGTCGGTGGTGATATGATCTATTAGTGTAGTTATTATATAATCTAACGGTGATGACACAATCTGATGGAGTGTATTTTTCCACTTATCTATGGCCTTTCTTTTATCAAGGAACTATTCATTTGTTTACATTACTCTGTATTCCTTTTACTCCTAAAGAGCTATCTATTTGTTTACCTGCTTCTAGGCCTGTTTGGTGACCTATTAATATATTGAGAATGCTTCTTTTTTGCGCCTATTTGGTTGCCTGTTAAAATGCTAAATTGTGGTAAAAAAATCGTATCAGGTGGCATAGTGGATTTGCGATTAATTTTGGCTGGCTCTATAGTATAACTCTGGCTGATCTTTTGGGCATATGATTTGAAAATCCAGCTTGGCGTCATGATAGCATCGTGGTAGCGTCCTGCTAGTGTCATAGAACTCTCCTGAAACTGTCATGGAACTGGCAGAGAGCTAGAGAGGTTCTATTGGTTTGTCAGTTTTATGCCAGCTTGGGTAACGAATTATTATATCCAAAGTTCTGGCTGAAGTTATGGAATAGTGCTGGCTGAAATTAAGCGAATTCATATTGCATCTTATTGTGTTATAGTCACATGATATCATTCTGATGCCAGAACACCCTTACATAGTTGCTTCCCTCTCAATTGTCATTTCTTGATTGCCGGATGAGACACGAAGTGCCGAATTTGCAATCCATCTATTTGCTAAAAATGTATTGCAATCTATTCACCCACTTTTTGATTGCTGGTGAGGCACATGCAAAGTGTTTAGTGTTGTGTCATTCTTGCAATCCCGCCTTTTATAGCCTGTTTGATTGCCAAGGATGAGGCACGAAGTATCGAATTGGTTCAAAATTTACATCTTTCATACTCTTTTTTCATGTATTCTTCTGAGTCTTTTCACCTTTCTGACCTCTTTCCTGCCTATCATCGGTGGCCCCAAAAAGCATAATTTTTTATTTTCTTTCCTATATATAATTCTACCTTTGGGGGCCACCAAATTTATACCCTAGCTTTTGCCCGAGCCTTTCTAGAACTCTTTCCCGTATAGTCCTACTTCAGCATACCCCTATGCCTGATTACTTTGGGCTATTATTATTAGAAGAGTTATCTGATAGTGCTCCTAGAAGGCTTTGTGTCAAATGATATGTTATGTGTATATTATTGGAAGATATATATGCTGAATTTGAGATAAATTGGTTAATTACTTGCAAAAATATTCTGTTATAAATTCGAGAAAATCTGTCCTAGTAAATGGAGATATATTAATAAACTGGGATGGGAACTGGGACAGATTTTGTTATGGAAGAAGAGCTTCTTTCTTTGATTTAACTTGTTCTTTTATATTATGTCCTAGTGTTCTAGTTGTCTTAGTAAAAAATAAAGTTCTAAAAAAAAATTGTAATTTTCCTATGATATATGTGTATAGTATATATATATATGATATATGTATATGGTTTATATATATATATGATATATATGTATACCTATAGATAAAAAAAAATAAAAAAAGTAAAAAAGTCCAAAATTTACTAGGATGACTAGGACAACTGGGACGGACTATTTCTTTTCCCCTTCATTCATCTTAATATTACCATCTAGCTATATTTCATCCATCCTAGAAAACTTTGACAATTGGGACGGAAACTGGGACGGATTTTTTAAAACAACTGGTAATAAAGTTTTATTATTTTACATTACTTCTATTTATACTTAATTGCCTACCAGTCCCTATATCAAAGCTAAGTCAGCCAGCTTTTTCTGATGGTAGTGTTCCTTTGATCTATGTTTTTTTGCATGCATATCACAATAATCATATTTGGATCTTGTCGGCTCATCGCATTCTTTGCAAAAAACCTGCCTAGAGTTTCAGTGGACTTTACATCCCTTTGAATGATAGCATCTCCGGTTGCATACTTTTCCAGTCTTAAAAATATATGAACAATTATATAATACCAGGGTGTTACCTTTTTTTCTGTCTTCCATTTATATGTATCAATTAATAATGTCAGGGAATTAATTTCATTTTAAACTTTTTTCTTACGAATAATATACCTTGAGTTTTGGTATAACTATAAATTGTTTTAAATTGCTTGAGAAAAAATGACCCAATCTGAGCTTTCTGAGTTCCTCGACGCCCCCGCCCCACTTTTTCGCCCAGAGGCTGAAAAAGATAAAAATGCTCAAGTGATTCATTATTCTGGCGAAAATTACTTGATGGGTGTTCCAATCCGTGATGAATTGGCTATGAGAAACGATGAGGGTTCGACTTCGATTCTCAAAGATGAGATAGCAAATCATCGAGATAACCCATTCATGCCAGTCGATATAGAAGAAGCTAAAGAATATATTAATAATATCCCCCATTATATTCTTCGCCTTTATGGGTACCTCATTAATGACCAGAAAGCAGTTGTCGCCATTACTGGTATTAAGGTATTTTTCGATATTCGTGTTCCTGATAATACAAGTATTCCTAAATTCTGGTCCAAAATAAAGGGTATTCTTGCTACTGGGAAAGATGGTAATGGGGGCACTGTGAACATGAATCTAATCCGGATGGAATGTATAAAGGCATACCCTATCCGTGGTTATCATGTGGAAAAAAAGCTGTATCTCCGTATTGTCGCACCCAATAAAGATGAAAGGTTCACTGCTCTCAATATCATCTCAAGCTACAATTCAAAGGTTGATCCCGAATGTAAAATAGAGACAGCTTCAGATGATACAGGCACATATTATCGTAAAGTTGCAAGAGAATATCAGATACCACTTTCCGGCTGGGGATTAATAAGTGATTATAGATATAATTTCAGTGCACCTTATTATGCGAAATCCCATCACTGCCCACATGTATTTTATGTTCACATTGATAGCTTTCGCCCCATAGACAATTTTGAACCACTTTACAAAATCTATCCATCTTCTCTCTTTACTCACGATCGAGCATTGGTTCTAACATGGGACATAGAAACATACGATTCACGTGGATCAGGAAATTTCCCAGAAGCGAAAAATGACACGTCCCAAGTTTTTACGATCTGCATGACCCTACACTGGAAAGATGACCCAATTCCTCTAGAGAGAATATGTTTAGTCGATGTAGAAACAAAACCAGACCCACGCTTGATCACAATCATATGCGGGAATCAAGCCAATTTATTAAAAGCTTTTGCTTTATGTTGGAAATCTTTTGCCCCAGATATCCAGCTTGGTTTTAACGATTCAGGATATGATTGGCCTTTTATTGTGGAAAAGGCCACCAAATTAAAGGTTCTCGAATGGATGGTTCAGCGAATGTCAGCGAAACCACGTAAGAAAGCCAATGCTAATTCTATTCTTATTTGGAATTATTTTGGGGGGGAAGGGGAACCATCTAGCAGTAATTTCTTCCAGAGGAATTCACAATGGGTAAAAAAGACAGATAAGAGGTTACTAGATAAGGATTGTAAAAAAACAGGATGTCGAGAATCCATTAAGATCAAAATCCATCCTAGTTTAAGTATTGAATCTTACTTTCTTAAA